ATTTCTTAATTTTAGTTGAACCTTTTTTTTAAAATTCCAAATGAACAATATTTTGAGAAAGGATTATATACCTTCTCATTCATCAAGTTTATATTTCTAACTTTTTAAGATTTTTTATGATTGATAGAGATGAAGAGATATTGTGGATATTGGATTGTTTTTATCAGATATTTAAAAATTATTTTTAGTTACTTTCTTTTAATTTACTTTAAATACATAAACAAGAATTTTAGCTTTTTTGTTTTTCAGTTTTTTTCTTCTGTTTTATACGTTGTTTTAAAGAGAAAATATGAGTTTTATTACTGTTGATCATAATAATTCAAACCAACAGCTATTTTGATTTTAAATAAAGTTTTTTAAATAAAAAAATAACTTTTAATTCTTAACTGAATAAAGTCTGTCACATAGCTAGAAATGTTCTATGGGAATATTCATGGTGAAGGTAAATGTAGTCCTGAAGACATGTATAACCAAATTGGGCAATGCTCACAGATATGTAATTCTGAAGCTATGATCCGCAGGTTAGCAGGATGGACTCACAATCGAAACAACATGGCTTAAAATCTTCATATCATCAGTCCTGTAGTATGGTAGACTGCTGGGGCACCGCATAAGACCGAACAACCAGCTACCACCATTCCTTTTGATTTTCTGTCTTTCTCAGTGAGATGCTCAGTGTCAAGTCTGTTCACTCCTGAATGTTGTCTTCCGACATCTTTCTCTGCCTGCCTCTCTTCTTTCTTGTACAGTGCCTTCAAGGATTGTCTTGAAAAGTCCTGAAGATCATGAGACATGCCCATACAACTACTGTTTACGTGTTTTCACTGTGGTCAGAAGGTCTTTGTGAGGCCCATTGGCTTGTCTGATCCTTTGCTATATTTCTTCATTGGTGACATGGTCTTTGTATGAGATACAGAGGATCTTCAGAAGCATTTCATCTCTGTGGCCTGTATCCTTTACTCTAAGTCAGCTGTTATGGTCCATTGATTCGCAGGCATAGAGAAATAGGGAGATCACCAGTGAGTGCATTGGTCTGGCCTTTGAATTGAGTGCAATGTTCTTGTTGCTCCAGATGGGCTTCAGTTTTGTCATCACTGCAGTTTTCTGCACAATCATGGAGAGTACTTCAGGATTCGAACTTTCATCTGTTACAATTGCTCCCAAATACTTTAAACTGTGGACTATTTATAGCTTCGTACCTTCAACCCTGATATCAGTTCTAAAGCAATTGGTGGTGTTGGTCATAATTTTGGTCTTCTCTGCACTGATTTCAGTGCTATTGGCTGCAGAGGTTTTGTTGAAGCTCTTTACTAAGCTAGCTAGTTCTTGCTCATTTCCTGCTAGTCCATAAATGTCGGCAAAACATTAGATGGTGACTGTCCTGCCTACGATGCTGATAGTCCCTTCATGTTTTTCAAGCGCATCAGCCATAATTCTCTCCAGAAAGATCTTGAATAATGTGGGAGAGAGCAGACGGCTTTGTCTGACTAGGAATGTCGTTCTGAAACAGTCACCTATGCTGCTGTTGAAGCAAACTGCACTGGTGACCTTATCATAGAGGTGCTCTATTACTGTAATGAGGTTGGCATTGATGTAAAGTCTCATGGTTGCCCTCAAGGCTGCATGCCATACCCTGTCAAATGCCTTCTTGAAATCCACGAAGATGTGGTACAGATCTTGCTAGTGTTGGAAGTACTTCTCACACAATATCCTGAGGTTCAGGATCTGCTCTGTTGGCAATGATCTTTTCAGGCTGTGGCTTTAGTCTGTTCAGCAGTATCCTTAACTTGACTTTGCTTGGACGGCATATAAGACTGACTGTACGGTGGTTTTGACACTGTTATAAGTTGTCTTATTTGGGGTGCGTGATGATCAGTGATTGATTCCACGGCGATGGCCATATTTCTGTTTGCCAGATCTTTTTGCAGTTCTTTGTGAGGGCGCTTAATTCCCTTCTCCCCACTGCACGGACCAGTTCTGCTGGGATGTTGTTCACTCCTGCTGACTGCGTCTATTTTTAGCGATCTCACAGTTGCTTGTAATTAATGTAAGATCGGTGGTTGTCGTTAGTTGTAGGATCTGTGTTTGTCGTTAGTTGCTGGAGGGACGTTCAGTACATCTGGATCTATTGTGGCTCAGTAGTTGCAAAGTTCTGCGCAGTACTCTGTCCATCTTTTCAGAATTTCTTTTCTGTGAGGCAGTTTCGGCTTTTTCCTGTTAGGAGGTAACTTGCTATTGTTTTGTGCTTGTTAGGTCTTGGAATAGTTGGTACACTTTGTTGCTGTTCCTTTTAAAGTTTCCTTCAATGTACTTGGACAGTTTTTCTATCAAGTTCAATTTTGCTTTTTTTTATGCTTTTCTTGACTTCTAGGTTGACTGCCTTGTACTGCTCAGCCCCTTCTGTGTCGTTCTTTTTCTTTTTCAGCTCCCTTCTCTTGTCACACAGTTTCAAAACCTCAGCTATGATCCAGCGCTTCTTGACTGGGCGATGTCTGCCAAGGATCACGCTCTGTTTCGGTCGTTGCTGTATTAAAGGTGGTGTTCAACGTGTCTATTTCTGTATCGTCAGCGTCGAGGATGGTAAGCGGTGCAATTTTCTCACCAATCATTGTCCGGAAGGCTTCTGCTACTTCTGGATCTTTCAGTTTTTCGAGATCAAACTTTATTCTTGTGTGGCTCTATTTCTTGACCTTCTTTAGATGTAGTTTAAAGGTCATCATCACCAGATCATGGTCACTGCCAATGTCTGCTCCGGGAAATCTTCAATTCTTGGTGATGTTTACACTTGACTGTACGCGCCTCTTCTCCATGAAGTAGTTGATTGACTGATGGTCTCCACTTGGACTGTGCCTTGTCCATCTTCTGGATACTTTGTGATGGCCGAAGGTGTTTGCCAGCATAAGGTCGTTGTAAATAGCGAATTCCGGGGGCCTTAGACCTGTCTTGTTGGTCTACGCATTTCAGCAGCACCCATATGTTCCTTTCCATTTATGCAAGCGTCCTCGCCTATCTTATCCACAACTTCTTGTAGCTAATCATAGAAGTCTTCCACATCTGCATCATCATAGCCTGATGGGGAATATGCCTGTATCATCGTGATGTTGGATGGAGTTGTTCGGAGGCGGATGGTGATGTGCCGGTTGGAGACTGGCCGACATCCCATGACACTACTCAGTTGTCTTTGTGGACAAGGTGACCAACTCCCTGCTTCCTGCTCATGTTTATCATCTCTGCCACTGAAGTACAGTTTGTGGCTTTGCAAAGTAGTTGTTTCTCCAGTGTTCTTCCATTGTATCTCACAGAGACCTAGGATGTTCCAGTGGTATCTGTTCATTTCATATGTAAGCTCTTCAAGCTTTCCTGCTGCTCTTAGTGTTCTCACAATCATTGTCCCAATAGTGATGTTCCTGACACTGATCTTGCTGCTCTGAGCACCAGTTGCATACTTTTCACCTCCGCCCTTGTGCACGACGGAAGGAGCGACCCTTGTTAACCCGGGAGACGACTGAGCCGGTATGGGATATGTAATGGTTGTCATTTTTCATGTGGTGTGTCTAGGGCAGCTGACGCTTGGCGGAGCCGAACCCTTTCCAGGCCTGACAACAGACAATTTCCTCCAATTAGGTGGCTCTCCTTGGTCATGTACATGTAGCTGTTGAGCTGTTTGACAGCCTTTCCGCTTGTCAGTTGACTTCGTCTTGGAAGTTCTTCCGCCCAGTGATGTCATGTTAACGTCACACTATCCATAGCTGGAAGACTCGTTTTTTTGGGGGGGGTCTATTTTCCCGTGCAAGTCTGGACTACAGGTCTGGAGTCCTACAGTTGGATTAATCTGGTCAGCTACCTTGGTGAGTCCTTGTGCAAGAAACTTTACTGCATTAGCACCATATTACCTCCTTGTGTTGCTGTGCATAAAGCACCAAACAAAAACCAATGCATGTATGTCATCCAGGAATGGTGAGACAAAATAACTGGAATGGATTCAGATGCTACCACACTCATTCCACTTATTAATGTAAAACAGCTTGTGTTTCAACAGCTATTGTCATTGATTTGTTTACGCAGCAATTTACCGGTAGCATAGTGATAGTTCCTGTTGTTGTTGTTGGGCTTGACGCTATTTTTCAGCATACGATAGGCAATTCATGGCGGCCAGTATTAATGGTGGAGGAAGAAACCTGGAAATCACCGGAAAGAACACCAACCCACGAGAAGCTACTGGCAAGCTTTCTCACATATCCACATTCACCAAATCCTAGACTCGAACACACTCAGACAGAGGTGAGATGGCAGTGATCCGTAACGGACAGCACCTTGGACCACTCGGCCACTCGGGGCCCCCTATTTGTGATAGGTGATTACTCAGAAGTTAGCTTGGAAATATTTGACTCTATAGCAGCCTTATCCTGTCTGCACTCTTGCAATATCAATGCTTTCATAAGACTTGAGAAGTGTAATTTAAACTCTGCAAATTTCACCCACCCACACACATTCCATTAATTGAACCATGGCTGATAGTGCTAAGATTTATTCAGTTTTTAAATAATGAAACAAAAACATGTTTCTAACACCACAATGTAACAATCTTGTACACATCAATGAAAGTACCCATATCTTTCAATGAAGGTGTCTATCTCCTGCGTGACAATGAAAGTGCCCATTTCCTACATGTCAATGAAGGTGCATGTCTCCTACCTGTCAATGAAAGTGTTCATCTTTTGCATGTCAATGAAGATGCATGTCTCCAATGGTGTGTGTGTGTGTGTGTGTGTGTGTGTTTGATTTAGATTTAACGTAGCTTTAACAAATTTTCAATCATATGACAACGATGTCTGCAGTGTGACAGTTTATAGAGATGTATAACTCTGGGATGCCATGTCGCATATATGTGACATGATGTCCCACCCAGTCACATTATCCTGACACCAGGCCGACCAGTCCCAACACTAATATCTTAATGCTAAGCGCCAAGTGAAGCAGCTGTTCGTACCATTTTTTGAAGTCTTTGGTATGACTTGAACCCGCGATCTTCCGCATTCGAAGCGGACGCTCTAACCACTGGGCCACCGAAGCGATCGTCTCCAAAAGTCAATGTAAGTATTCGTCTCTTACATGTCAGGCGCATGTCTCCTAAATGTCGATGAAAGTGCCCATCTCTTACATGTCAGTGAAAGTATCCATCTTATAAATATCAATAAAAGTACTCATTTTATCTCTCAATGAGTGACTGGAAGAAAAACTTTGATTGGCTTACTAGTATTTAAACAGCATGAAAAATTAAGTTGGCAATTTTTTTATACTCTACACACAGTGAATAGTGAAGCATGCTAATGGTAATTCATGAGAAACAATTAAATTACAGCACATTAGTCATGGAGATAATGAAGACTATTTGATTGTCACCTGTGGCAGTGCACTAACGACCAAAGCCAAACATCAGCATGGTCGGTGAACCCTACAAGTTTTTGCTCGAGTTTTTTCCTAAGCAAATGTTCCTACAACCAAAGTCTCTAGCTATTCTATTTCCATGCGGTTCAAAAACGGTAATAAATTGTTTATGTTAGCTCAGCTTTGTTACCCTATTATTGACTTTTTCCAATTTTTTATGCGATTTCGTTTACTTGCGAACCGGCACTCAATTGTTGTTGTTCACCCTTCATCCTGCTATGAATTAACCAAAGATTTTATCCAGACCTATACCATATCTGGATCTTGTGTCATGTAGATTTATTGTTATAAAACCAAACGGAAGAGCTTGTGCTTTTGAAAAAAGTTTTTAAACTTGATCATGTCCATATCCCCTGAACACCAGGTATAATAAATATTCAGTAGGGTATAATTATCTACTCCATTAAACACAACCAAAATATTAGTTATCTCTAATCACCTTAGGTGTCTGTGTGTATCTCTGAGTAACAAAAATCACTCAGCATTTTTATGTCTACCTCGAGAAAATATTCTAGTTGGATTAGATTGTTTGTACAGCATCACATCATCATATACTAACAGGTTATTAATGAATGCATCTAAGTTATCTACAGCTGAGGCTTCATCAATATATGCGATAAAATCAATATCGTCACCGTCTTTATTAACTGATTTTGCTTTCTCGTGAAAATCCTAAAGTACTTCGTAACACTGCTGATCATCTACAGATTGTGTTATTAAATATAGTTTGCTCCATCTCAACCACCTCATTATTAAATTTAATTTTTAAAAAAATTAATTGATCCAGATGGACTTATTATAATCATCTTTATCGAATTTGATAATGCTGGATGGTGCTTTACTGGTTCCTGTTTTCGTGTCGCCGAAAAGTAAATTATTGTATCCATATTATTTATAACATGAGTATATTGTGTTCGATGTAGATGATATACACCCACCACTGGATTGACAACGATAATAACGAAAAATAAACGACGTGCATTAACAGGTAAATATGTAAAATGTGGTACACAAAAATATAAATTTATCTCCATGTCTGATTCAGGGACAAAGACAGGTGGAGATATTGCTGCTTCTTTAGGAAAATTGCCAGGACTTCCATTGGCCAAATATCCCGGTGAGAAACTCCTTCCTGGATATTTTTACTGTGGTCCTGGAACTAGACTTGATATCCAACTTGATGATCAGGATCAATCAAGACCAGGAGAGCATCCAGTAAATAAGATTGATTAAGCATGTCATGTTCACGACGTTGCTTATAAAAGTAAAGATTTGCAGTAGCGGCATCTTGAAGATGTGAAATTGATTCATGCATTAAATTATATACCTAATAAATCTTTCAGAAACAAAATCGCTAGTTTTCTGATAAATTCCGCTATGAAAATTAAATAATGCTAGGGGCTAGTAATTAATTATATCACTATTATAATGGAATCTATTTATTATTGCCCAAGAGGTTATGGGAGAGGCAAAGCAACGGTCACTAAACTTATTGAAGCAGCAAAAATTTCACGTTCTCTTGCTAAAGATTGATTAGCCCGATAGGCAATATGGCAAATTTATCTACCCCCGCCCAAAAAATTCAATACGCACATTTTGATATCAGTGTTTCTAACGAAGTTCATCAAGCAGATATTTTAATATTTTACTTTTATCACACGATACTGTTAAAACACTTGGACGAAAGTCACGCACCTACAAATACGTATTGACTGTTGTTGACGTTACAAGTAGCTAAAAAGAAGCTGAACCATTATCAACAAAGACAGCATATGAAGTTTCGTCTGCATTTGAGCGATTTGTCAACGTGTTACGTGTTAGTCTACGATGGCCACAGCTATTAAAAGTTGATCATGGCAAAGAGTTTCTTGGCGCAGTATTATCTTTGATGAAAAAACAACGTTAAAATCAGACAAGGACATACCGAAATTCATCCTGATCAAGCAATCGTTGAATGATTTAATCGATCACTTGCTGAGCGGTTATTTGGATATCAACACGCAAAGGAAATATCTACTGACTTTAAGTCGGGTGAGCGATCTCGTGAATGGGTTGCAAGGTTACTAAGTGTGATGTCTGCATTAAATAATGAAATTACTCGTGCAACTTCCATGAAACCTTTTAATGCAAGAACAAAATAATATATACCCCGTAGCGATAACGTGGCCGTGAACAACCAGTATTAGGTAATGTGAAATATTTATACGACCCAGGAGAGCTTGAGGGGAAAAAAGAGCTACTGATCCTATCTGGTGCGTGGCAATATATGTAATTTCTAGAGTTGTTAGATCCACTGGAAGACCTGCACTCTACAGACTACATTCTACTGCCCCTCAACATGGATTTGTACGTGAACAGCAGATAATTCCTCCGGATACACAATTACCACCGCATTCACTTATGTAAATTAGCATCTGGGTCAGCATTACATTTTTACGTTTATGACCAAGATCGCTATTAATTCTATCTACGATAAATTGTCTTGAATTATTATTCGAATATTGCCATAACATTATTGTGTTACAGCTTGCACAATGATTATTCTGTAGTTGCTTTAGTGTTATAATAAAATCAGTATCAATATCAAAATCACGCTTATTTTTTTTGTCACATTGTTTATAAGGCGCTATTATTTTCTTTATGACAACAAGGTCGTTAGTAATTTCTTAAGTTATCACGTAATGTATAATAAGTCTATGTAGTTTAGTTATTCTTCTGACGCGAGATACTGCAAGATAGGCTAAGTTTGACCATTCAATTCAATCATCTACAATCCAGACATTTGTAACAGAGATAGTTAATCCATGTGACCAGTGAATCGTCATAGAGTATCCTAATGTCCACGGTGATTTTTCCATGTTTAATGTACTCTCAACAACATCAGCAGCAACTAAAACAATGTCATGCAGAACAAGATTTTGTAGTCGGGCACTTTCATTGTCTCCACGTGTAGTTTTAACTTCAATATTCTGTCGTCGAGTATCTGCTGAGCGATAACATAATGGTACAGGTAGATTTGAAAACTTTTCTTTATGGAACGTAAATAATTTCTTTTGCAATTCATCACGAACCATCTTTCTACTTGCGACTATCAAATCAGTGAGTCTCCATAAAGTCCAAAAATCATTCATGGTAGTTTCTGGAATTATCTCACGTATTATCTTACATTGTATTTTATCTGGTTGTAGTCTGAATAATCTTTTAAGTTCTTTCAGCGGTTCATCAATAGTTCTATGATCATCATGTATTTCTTCGTAATAATCCACATTATTCTTTAGCCTTTCATATGGAGACTCTCCAACAAAGGGTGGTGGTTGACCATGATCGCCACACATAATCACAGCAGTATTCTTTGTCAATAACCATTCAAAAAATGTTTTTAGCATTTCTAACGACACCGTGTCTATCTCGTCCCATATAATATACTTAGGTATATATTTTTCACCCATTCGCTCAAGAGTCCATGTATCTCCGCACCATCTAAAGAAACTATATGTACATGATTTAACTCCTCGTTCTTTTATTTCTCTAGCAAGTTTGTATTGTATGTAGGTGTCAAAACAATCATATCTGATCACAAATAATTTAATCGCACGAGTTGTTTTATCTAAACCCCCACACACATTAAGATAAACAGTCTTATTCTAGCCACAGGATCGTACACAGATGGTGCATATGACTGATATTTGATTATTATTTTTGTAATATATTTCCTTAATTTCAACATCAGCAGATTCCGAATAACTGAATATATTTTCTTGCTTTATCCTCCATGTCCCCCACTCACCATTACCATGTAGCAGTTTTAATAAACCGTTTCAATTTTTATGTGTATAAAATGAATCCGTAGCGACTCTAACAGCGTAACGAGGAAATATATTTATCGACAGTAGATTTATAGAAACATAGGTTAGTATCGAAGATCTTAAATGAGTAAATTGCAGTGAGTTCACACTGGCACCTAGTTTGGTCCCATCTGATAAATAAACATTATATCGGCTTATAAATGTGTTTTTCTTCGTTGTATCAGCAATTATAAAATCTAACTCAGCATCGTTTATAATCAATCTTGTACAGTGTCGTTTATAACCGTATGAACTGCCTTGAGTAAACTTACTGAATATTTTTCTACCAAGATTGTTTTCAAGCTTTTCATCGTGCTCGTCCCTGCATTTACGTATATTATTAGAAATTTTAATAATGTCATCTTCATTAAGATCAGGAAATTCTTTCCTGGCATCATCGATATTAAATCTATCCGGTTCTGGTAACCAAACTTGCTTTTATGGACTATAGGATATAATTGCTTCATTTACCCTCAACGCTATTAAAATTCCAGGATTAATAGCACTATTGGAGTCCAACACTTTTCTGAAAAATGTCTTCTAAACCAAGCATAGGTAACAGGATGGAGATCTTCTGCGAACTCGATGATTCTATACAAGAAAATCCGGTTAAGTCAAATTCTGGTAAGGGTCCGTTTATCGCAACTCTGGTCATCTGATGTGTACGGTGGCCGAGTCTGTCAAAGTATTTAGAACATACTCCATATCCAAGAAAATTTCGAGGATAACATGTAGCCTTATGGAAGGAGATAACATCATTATAATTGTGATTTGG